TCGATTCCAGTCCTGCCACAATAAGACCAGTCCTGCCACAATAAGACCATTTTTAGGTTTGTTGAAGTATTTTAGAGGCTTTTAAAGATTTCTTGCTCATCATCTTGCTTAAGAGAGGTCACATTGCACAACTGTCCTACGAAAATCCACCAACAGAAACATAGAATGTTTTGCCTGGAAGAGACTTTAAAGATCTGTTTCCAAGATCTTGTGGATACCTTCCACTAGCCCAGGGTGCTCCAAACCCTGTCTGACCTGGCCTTGAACACTTCCAGGGATGGGGCAGCCACAGCTGCTCTGGGCAACCTCTGCTAGAGCCTCACCACCCGCACAGGGAAGAATTTCTTCCCAATATCCCATCTGACCCTGCACTCTGGCAGTGGGAAGCCACTGCCCCTTGGCACTCCAAATCCTTCTTAAACCATCACTAAATAAATTTTTTTTTTAATTTCTGGCACAGTCTGTGCATTTATTTAGCCAATACGTCTAAGCAGGAACCAAAATCAGCAGAAAACATCATCTACCTGGAAAAAGGAAGGAACCAGCTCAGAGGAGAGGAAAAAAGCTCAAGGGATCATGGTGACTGGGGAGAGGGATAAGGGCACTGGGAACAAGGACCTGTGAACAAGCAAGGAGCATGGGATGAGGGATGGGCTTGCTAGATAAAGCACTTCTCTGCACTGGGAACTAATTAGAGGTTAAGAAATTCCATATGAGGAGAGTTGTAACTGGATGACCTTCTAGGTCCCTTCCAGCTCAATCTACTCTATGCTACCAGAGGATATATAAATCATATAAGAGATTAAGATATATCCTGTTACATGTCAAACAGTATATATTATATTTTTATATTTACTGCTCATCATTTGGAGAAACCCAGACACAAGTGGGTGGCAAATGAATCCCCTCAGCCCCAGTCAACAACATCCCTGGACTCAAGGATGCTGTAAGGGCACAAGACAAAGCTCTGGGGGACTGACAATGGCTCCCAAAATCACTGAGCTTGGAAAAGACCTCCCAGATCATCGAGTTCAACTCGTGCCTGATCCCCACCTCGTCACCAGCCCAGAGCACTGAGTGACATATCCAGGAGTGCCTTGTACACCTACAGGGATCGGGGTTCCACCACCTCCTGGGCACCTCCAGTGCCTGACCACCCTTTCCATGAAGAAATTCCTCCTGATGTCCAACCCGAACCCACCCTGGCACAGCTTGATCAGAGTTGTCCTTCATTTCACTAATGTGCTTTGAAATCCTTCTGCCTTGCAGATACCATTTAAGCAGCTCTCAGCATCCTGACTTTTATTAGTATAATTTATGTGCTCTAAGCATCATCCTCTTCCCCCAAACACGAGTTGCATTCGATGGCATTCTGCCAAATAATAAATCAATAACTTGTGCAGCTTGTTCTTTCTCCACGGGTCATGTGGCCTGCAGCTGGCCAACATTTCTCAAAGGACAGCCGCTCTCTCATCTCCAAGGAAAACAGAAATTTGAACCAAGCCTCCCAGGACTCAATGGTTGACTTCTGCTCGTTGGCTTTTGTCTTCAGAGGCAATAAAGAGGCGTTAACGCCTAACCAGTGATGAGATACAGAAAAAACTGTAGCTGGGAGGAAAGGAAGAGTGTTCCAAGCAGTAGGAGAGAGACACTTCTTCATCATTTATTTTAAATTTAAGTATTTTAGATTGATGCTCTTTAAAATTAATTCACTCCCACATTAATTTCTAAATGTAATATTTAAGTAAGACATCTAAACTCATCTTAGAATGTCATGTTCCTGGGGGCTGTTCCATGTTCTGCTCCTCAGAATCATGAGGTAAAATTCAGAGGTGGCTGGAGGTAGTGACCAGACCTCCAAGACCATCAAATCACAACTCCAACCAAACACCACCATGATTTAGTCCAGGCTATTGGATTTCTCCACCTATTGCACAGGACCAGTAAACCCTATGGACCTCCCTAAATAATCACAGAGTTTTGGATGGCTGAGGAAACATTCCATAGGATGCGTTATTCTTATGAAATTCAGTTTTTCAGTCTGAGCAGGCTGAGATTTGCTGGCTGGGACACCAAGCTCACCAGGGACTCCACCAGAACATAGACTTCACTGAACAGACTCCACCAAAAAATAGACTTCACTGAACACCTGAGCTCCTGCCAATTGATTGTACTCCAAATTCTGTAATTTTTTCAGCCTCAACCTTGGTTATTTATGTATTTTTTTAAACAATAAAAGCATGCCCTTGAAACGGAGGTTTGGTGGGTAAGAAAAAGCTGGAGAAAGAGGCAGAAAAGAACTTTATTAGCAAGACCTGTGGGATGAAAAGCTACAGGATGAGTCCTCAAAATTTGCAAAGCATCAGCTGAAACAGGGAAAGTGAGTGAGGTGGGAAGAACCAGATAAGCCTCAGCAGGGATGGGGGAAGACTGGTGAGGATGAAGATTACAAATTTTGGAGAATGGGATACAAAGAAATAAAAACTTGTATTCCTGGCCATTAAAGTGCCAAAGACCTAGAAACTTGGAGGAAACTCAGATCATGGGTGGTGGTGGTATGGTACTGATGACCTCCAAACTAAACCTTCATCACAGCAATTATTTAGCGCAATGCCCTAAAAAAACCCAAACGACAGAGCCGCTGTATTTTTGGGAGACACCAGGCTGAAGATCAAGGATGCCTTGGTGGTTGTTTGCAAACCACTGGAAATAGTGTCATCTTCAGACAGAAGGTTTAAAAAAAGATTCACCAGACACATTGTATTAGATTTCACCACAGGGGGGAAAAAAGGGAATAAAGGTTAAAATAATCCCATGGTTCTCCTAGAGGACTATGGTGAGTATTTGAGTTTCCATAACATCAACAGCATGTCATGGTAACAATTCCACCATGGCTAAATGCAGTTCTGGCAGACAAATTCTACTAGGATTTCAAGAAAAACCCTTAGTGATTATTTAATTTTGCCACTTATTTTTTTGGCAGAAGTGTCCAGGTATCTCAGAAATCTCTTCAGCTTCCTGCAAGCTTTGGAGAGCTGAGGATTCAGAGAATGATCTATCCATTTCAAGTCCCTATCACCAAGACATGAAAGAAACCCTTATAAAAATACAAATACCTCAGATAAATTCACGTTTTGAACTAACAGAACTATTTTTGCTCCCTAGAAACACAATATAAACTCCCTGGTCTTCATTTGTAGACTCATGACCATCATTAAAAAACCTTTGGGCCAGCGAGGAACAAAGAACATTCTTGAAGACCCAAGATCTGAATACGAGTCCTTGAGTTTTCTTTCCATCTAATCCACTCCTCCACATGCAGCTGGAATTCCACGGAAAGTAAATGGTTAAACCACCTAATTCATTCACCCAAGGATCAGTGCTCGTGCAGCTGCACAGCTTACTTGTATTTATAGACTCAAGCTATGCCAAGATGTCTGAGTTTTCTAGCAGCAGAGCTCGCAGCGCTCCAGCTGGGATCCAGGAGGATGACATGCTCTGGCACTAAGAACTGGAATGGGCCCTTTGCAGTTTGATGGCTCCACAACTGCTCCTCATATCCATACAGCAAACACTGGCTCCAGTGACTTCACATGCCTGACAGATTTCCAGGAGAAAGCGAATTAGCTCTGAAGCTGCTCCAAGAGGAATTAGGGATGGCTGCACTTGGGACCTCTGTGAATCCCCCAGGCTTGGGGGGAGCCCTGACCTGCTAAGAAATCCCAGCCCAATAACAAGAATTTCCTCATGGATGATGACATTTTGGAGGAGGCTGCTGAAACCCCACCTCATGGAGGAATCATCTGTCTCCAGGTTTCAGGAGGAATCCTCCTTCCTTGAGTCTCTTCTAAGAAGTTTTTGGCAATGTTTATAAAAAAATCCAGCTGGTTTGGCTTTGTGATAGTATCAAAATTTGCATTTCTATGGTGGAGAATGGGAAAATAATCCAATTTTTGGAGCATCTATTGAGTAGGGTACATCTGCATACAAAGGCCACTTAAAAACTGAAATTAAATGGCTTTGAGCAGCTCTGCTCTACCTTATTAATCAAAACCAAAGAGATTAAACAGAAAACATCAAACTCATGAACAAACACTCCCTAAGTGATCCACTCAGGGATACATCACTTGTTTTTTAAACATCCTCATATTCAATGCAACATTTTCTTCTGAATTTTCCAATCTTTGAGAGCACTGGAGAAGCCCAAAATGAAACTATCAGGGTTTTTGGGAAGGGTTGGGTTAATTCTGTAATGATGATAAGGAGAGTTCCCCTTAACCTCCCCCAAAAAGGATTTCACCTGGAAAGAGGATATGCAGACTGGCATGTAAAAAAAAACCAAAAAAACATTTTGAAGGTCTCTAACATATTTCCTGTGTTGTACAGCCCAATAATAGTCATCCATCCATGAAACAACACATGTGCATTAATTTGAGGCTGGAAAGTTCTTAACAAATGTAAAGCAAAGCCTAAAGTTCAGCCTTTCCTAATCTGCCAGGGCTACTGAAGGTCATAATGCTCTCAAGTCTGACTTTGGAGAACACATGAGAGCGACATTTCTCCTCCCTCCCTACAAACCAACACTGAAAGGAAAAAATCACTGGAAGATTGGGGTGGCTTTTTGACTAGATACCAAAAAAAAAAACAACTTTTACATGATATCAAAGGGCATGGCAGCATGTCCAGGCAAAGGCAAGGAAGGAATTGCTCACTCCTTGATAAGCCCTTTGAGCACATATCAAGGAGACAACAGAGCAGTGGTTAAGGTCTTCATGATGTTTTTGGAAGCCAAAATGTTTATTTTAAACCAGAAAATGTCTGGCTGGATTTTATTTTACAGGTGGAAGTTTGTCATATGGTCAATTAGAAGTTAAATTGGAATAATTCAGTGTACACTCCTTAACAAAACAGAATTAAAGGGATAATTTCAGAACTTTATCAGGGCCACAAAGTCATGTCAATATTCACTGGCATCAGAGAGTAAATATTTCTGGACTTACCTGTTCCAGTTTAAAGATGTGCTGGTTAAAGTAGTGCTGCAAGCGCTCGTTGGCAAAGTTAATGCAGAATTGTTCAAAACTATTGTTTTCATAGTCTTCAAACCCAAAAATATCAAGTACCCCAATGGATAAAGTCTGCAAGAAAAGTAAGAGTGAGAATTAGAATAAATCTACATAAAGTGGATTATTTGTACACAGTACATAATCAAAAGCACACAGACAGAATTAAATATACTTAATAGTAGGAATTTTACTGGAATTGTTGATATTGTGCCATCTGGAGTCCAGAGAGACAACACATAACTTTAGATACGTGGACGAAAGGGTTTGTTCTAAGAGAAAAGCCATTTGAGAGGTGATTGTTTTCTTATTTACAAACAAATGGCCATCTTTGAAGAAACCTGATGCCTGTTCAAAGTTATTCTATTGGATTTAAGTATTGTTCTTCAGAAGAGAAAAATGGCTTGGAAAACAAAGGGATAGGCTTGGGAAACAAAGGTTTTCACTGTGAAGTCAACCCATGGGAACACACCTCCAAGGTGAGCGCATTGTCCAAGCGAACCCACTCCAGCTGCAAACCTCAAAAAGAAACTCCTACACATCAGGGCTTCCCATGGAAATAATCTTTAGTTCTCCCGGTGAAAACTGAAATAGTATCACAAATAAAGCATCCATCTTGTTTGCCAGATGGATCAGACAATGGACAGAGGTTTGGGAGCATCGAGTCACTCCGGCCTCGCTGAAAGGGGGGAATTAACACAAAAATAATGCTGCTGAAAAAGGGAGTCCAAAGCCCTGACTAACACTTGGCCCTAACTGCTGGGCCCAGCCGTGCCCACGTGATCTTCCCCTGTGACACCTGGCTGTGTCCACAAGGCTCTTCTGCATTCTCGCACCTTTTTCCACCAGCTCCTGCCAGTTTGGGACGAGAGATATGGAAGGACACCTCTGTGCTTCTTTAGTTCATGGGCAAGAAAGGTGTAAAGAGGGATCCATCCCATTTTTTCTTTTGGGAACCCATTGGCAGTATGAGCCCTACATTCTCTGTAAGGACCTTCCAGAAGTTCACAATAGAGAAGTTTTTATTTTATTAAATCCATAACTCGTAGTATAAATTGTAGGAACTGGTGAGCTACAGCTCTAAATAGCCTTTTCTTCCCCATCACTTTGATGATTTTTGTGAACCTCAGGCAAAAGCCCCAGGCTTTTCCCCAAATTGAAGAGCCAATGCCTGTTTGGTCTCAAATCTACAATTACCTCTTGAGATGCTCATCAGGATGTGGGTGCACCAAGGTTTCCTATGTTGGCAAAGCGAGATCCATGCTGCAGTGAATTCCCAGCTTGCTTTGCACCCTCCTGGCCCACCCCCTTCCCCACACCAGCCAAGCAAGGAGAGGCAGTGGACCTCTGGCCAGGCACGTGTTGGCCTACAGGTGAGTGCGACCCAACACCTCCTGGCTCAGACTGTGCTTCCTACCCTTGATGGCAGCAGAAATGTGGAACCTTCTTCTTTGTGTAGGTATTGGTTTTCATAAAACTTGAGCCTTCTGCCTGTCAGATGGATTTGGGAAACCCAGAAGAGAAACATGGGGATGTGTCAGCAAATAAACCTCATCCACAGAGGGAGCTGGAGTGAAAACCAAGCTCAAGATACAGTTATTGCTGCAGCTTCCTTGGCTCTACACAACTGTTGTGTTAAACCCCTAAATCATAATAAATGTTAAAAACAAAACTCATACTGTGCCCACCCAGAAAAGCTGCTGTCATCAGAAAGAGCGAAGAGCCTGAAGGACACATTTGGGGAGAGTTCCACCAGCACCATGCTCTGGGATCCAGCCAACAACACCTCACGCAAATACTCCATTCACCCATTACAAATAATTAAATAATTAATAAGAGAGGTGAAAGCATTAGCACTGGTCAAATGAGCTAAACCTCAAACAGGGAGGAGAAATAACCCCTCCCCTCCACCTCAAAGGGCCTGAGAGCTGCCAGGTGCCCTGGTATTAGTTCTATTGGTGCTACCTGCACTTTGGATTTTCTAAGACTTACTTGCTAAGACCAGCTTAATTTCACTGCCAGGAATATAAACCAGACTGTCCACAGGCTTCTCCACACTCCCTTTTGTCCATTTTCAACACAGCACATAATGTGGGAGGAAAATATTCCTTCTGTGCCTGCCTCCTGACCAAGGAACCACCTACGGCTGGAGCAGGCATGGCTGCCGTGGGCAGAGTGGCCACTCAGCTGTGAGTTGGAGCTTTGTCTGACCTGGACTCTGGCCACTGGCACAGGCGAAAACACAACAAAAAAAGCATTTAAGCACAAAGTTAAGTCTTTAAACCATTTTCCAAGAGTTCATTGACTACTTCATCTTTTGTCCAGGTTTTTCTCCCTATTCCAGGGCCAGACGGTCTCTACGTCCCTGATGCCATGGCAAGGATGAAGGTCCTTGGCCCCTTTCTCAGAAGTTTGCATCACTTGCCAAAACACCCATGAGAAACAGCTCTTTGACCAAAAGATGGAAATTGGGAACCACTGCACCAAGGACTGAGCCTGGCAGAGGGATTCACATTCAGCCACTGTTTCCCAAGGTCCATCATCTTCTCCTGCTTGTCCCAATGGATGTGGCAGCCCTTCTGCTCACCAGACAGAAATCTGCCTCATCCTTTCTTAAATGCATCACAGAAGGAATTCCTAAACTCTCTGTATGATTAATGCATCATATCTATATTATCCATGGAAAAAATGATGATGGAAACAGGACAAAGTGACTTTTCTCATCTCCCTTTACATGACCTATGCAAATCCTGATCCCAACCAGCCCACTGCTGTACAAGTTCATCCCTACAACAGACAAGAGTTAAAAAAAAATTCCCCTACATAAAAGTCTCTATTCCACCATATACAAACAAGACTTGGAAGATAAAATGCTCACAGTTCCAGACTATTCATGGATTTACTGACACCAGCTCTCAAAAGCATTGTGTTGACATCCTATGGAAATAGTTAAGCCCCTACCATGAGTGAAGACTTTAATCTGAAAAAGGTCTTTAAGCTCTCACAAACTTAATTTAATATGAAACAACTGAGCACAAAAACCATCTCCCTTTTTAACAATCCCGGTTCATTTACTGCATTGAAATTGCTACCAAATGTATTTCAATGTGGGCGTGAAAATACACTTATAAAGCAAAACAGAAGAGTCATATACAGCAAAAAATAGCCCTGTCAGTTATAAAATAATCTTATGGAAATATTATATTTTAAAGCTGTATTTTTGTAATTTTTTAGCTGACACCTAAAATTAAACACACACAGAACTATAAAAATAATCTCCATTTCACAAAACCACTGCAGGTATCAAACCACATGTCCAGGAGGAGGATGGTTAATTCTGCCACGGTTGTTACACAGAGTAAACCAGAATTTTTCTCACATCCCTGTGTTTGTAACTACTAAACTCCTCCAGAATACAGATTTTAAACTGTGTGCTTTTTTGCAGAGTTTCACATCAGAGAAATCTGGACAAGCTCTGCAGAGAAACAGTCGCTTGTCCTCTGCCACAATGATCCCAAAAGAATGAGGCCAATGGATGCCACTTGGGAAAACTTTAAAACCCGAGATATTTGGAATTGATGGCTCTTTTTCTACTCTCTGTCCGTGATAAAGCAGCACAAATGAGAACAGAGTCAATTCTTGTAAGGTGAAAAAACACAATTTCCATTGACATATATAGGAATTAATTTTGCTAAACTGCCTGTAAAAAGTGTGTAATCTGGGTGGTCTTAGGATGAAATTTGCACCACAATATATTTAAAGAAAAGTCAAAGGAGTTTAACATTTAAAAACCTTTTAAGTCTTCAACTTCAAATCGATCCTTTGAATAGGTGCTATGAGGAAATCACATGAAGATAATTTAGACCTTGACTTGCCAAGTCTAGTCTGTGTGTTAATGCTGCTTCTTTATCAAAACTAACATATAAAATTAAAAACTGTGACTGTATTAATTAGCATATCAAAATTCCTGTGATTAAAAGTGCATGTCTGTGAGGATTTTTAAAATTTGGGTGAACCCTGGGTCAGTGAGCACTTTCTGCTTGAGATGATGAAAAATGACCTCATGCTTTTCTTAAAATGTCTCAGCCATGACATTTAAACCCAGAGCATGAATTTTAAGGGCTTTTGGCAAATGATGGCCCTGAAGCTCTGTGCTCTGCAGTTCCCAAAGTGCCAATAAATAGGGATCACTGGAGCTGATTTATGTTGCCCCAAATACACGCTGGTGATGTAATTCCACCACGGAGGCACATTTTGGCAATCTCAAATAGGTTTGCTTCAAATTCAGGGTAAAAATCTTGTTTATTACTATTTTCAATTTTTTATCTCTTTTCATTTTAGCAATTCATTTTCATTTACAATAATCCAAAGCCAATACTGCAAAAAATCCCTCCCCAAAACAACCCCAAAATCCATAACCACTTCATCTGAAAGGATCCCTCCAATCTACATCACCCCAATATACATGATGACCTATTATATAAAGTGAAACATGGTGATTTGCTAAAAACTTGGAAGCTGGGACCTAAAATTAATGAACTGATGCACAATAAACATACTGCATGTTTAGCAGTTCTTCCTCTGCTTCAGGTCCAAAAGCCAAGAATTAACTTGTTGGTTGAATTTAAATGAATCTTCTTCATGGCCATGAGTTCTTCATGTGTTCAACCACAGATTTTTCTTTATGGCCATTAATTTTAATTTTCTTCACAGCCACGAGTTCACCAACATCCCCACATATACAGCACGTCATCTGAGAATGGTAGCAGGGTGATTTGGGAGCAAATTAAGCCACTTTCACAAGAACCAAATGGGGAAAGATTAAAAACACCCTTGGAAATGCCTTTTGATCCACCATGATCTCCACTCTATCATGTTTTAAGAGGTGAGATGGACTTCTAGCAATACCTAACCTGATTTATGGAAAGGGAATTCAATAAGAGGCTCTGGGAGGTTTAGTACTCTTGTTCTCAAGAGAAGGAAAAATCTCCAACCTCATTAATAAAGGTCAAATTTCAGGCAGTTTGTAGGGAGTCATGAGAACATAAAAGGAACTAAAAGGAATTGAGAGAAGATGAAGGAAAAGGGAGTCGGAGCAAATCCGACCCATGGCGGCTCTGCCATTACCATAAACCAGGAGGTATCAAATAACGTATTCACAGCTCGGGTCAGAAATAATATCTTAGAAATCCTGTCACCAAGCAAGATAAGCCAAATCCCACTGCGTTTTCCCAAAATATTTCACTGTGCATTTAACTAAATTTGGATATCAAAGGTCTGATTTACATCTTCCAAATATTTGCTGGACAATATGGAAGAACAACGGCCAAGTGTTTATTTTTCTTTGCCCAGCTTCATCTTTTGATCCTCTCCTAACTGCTGATATCAAATAAACACATATTGGGATATGAAAATGATCTCAGTTCCCACTGTCCCACTAAAATCAAATCTACACTGATGAAGAGAGAAACTTCTGTATTAATTTTTCTCCTCAACTTCTCCCACACACACTCTAAATTGAGATGGCTTTGAGTCTTGTGTTACCTCTGCATAATGTGATTATTATAAAAGAAAGCTCTGTGCCCCAAATCCATCATACGACACTTTCTGAACCTTCCAAATCTGCAGGATTGTTTCAAAATGTATATTAAAAGTCAGAGGAATATCACTGTCAAGCATGGGCTGGGATTAATTCAGGACATTTGCTGCAGGGTGAGTCACATATTATTCACCCATTGCACACTCAGGAGTTTCTGAGGTGCAAGGCTGTATTTTTCTCTCATAAATCAAAGACTTGGTGTGTTTTAAGATTTTTTTTTTGGCTGGTATATGCCAGCAAGGAGATGTCATCCATGTGCCAAGGTCTTGCCTTGCAGCAAGGAGATACTCCCAGGGCTTGGAGATGCCACTGCTCCCAGTCCACCTCCCAGTCACCCAGCTGGTGCTGCCCAACCTCAAAACAACATATGGGAAGCTAAGGAGAACCTGCATCCTCATCTGGGGTTTCTCCAAGAAAGAGCTGAAAAGGAATTCAGGAGGAGTGGGAGGTGGTAGGAAAAACCAGATCCGTCCTTGGCTTCCTTTCTCCACAGTGGTGATTCTTGGGTGGTGCCTCAATGGCAGCTGCAGAGCCCAGATGCCCTCGGGCACTTGTTGGCAGCACTGTTATTCCTCAAGGGCAAAGGAGCAGCTATTCCCAGCCCTGCCCATGCCAGGGAGACATTTTTCCTTCCTCTGTGCTGAAACAACCCAAGTCAGGGGCTAAAAATAGGGCTGAGGAGGCACTCGAGGAAAAATTGGCTGTCGATGTTTAACGAAGCTGCTCTGAAATGCACATAAATCTCTTCTTCACCGTCTCCACCCCTAAAATGCAGAGGGATTTGTGCATTTTCATGATTTCTGCGGAGTTTGTGGGAATCAATCCAATTCATAGAGGACTCTGAAGACAAACTGAACTACACTTGTGCCTAGAGCAGCAGATTATTTCCTGGTATTTTGTGCAGTGCCTTTCTGCTTCAGAAACTCTGGCCCAAGTACAGTCCAGGATTGCCTCCCTCAATCTGGGTCTGAGCACATTCTGCAGCTCCAGGTCCTGGGCATTTGCCAGCATGGGTGGATCTGTTCTGGCACAGGGGTAACACCACTCCCAGCTCCTGGCGCCTGCTGCCTGACCTGGATATTACCATTTTGATTTGGGGCAAAACAAAAAGGGCCAGAATCCTGTCAGTTGTGAATTCATGAGATGATACCCAGAGGTGGGCAAGGGGAAAGATGGTTACATACCATGGGAGTCTTGGCTGGAGGAAACAGAGGGTTAATGTGCAGCAACGTTGGAAAAAAATGCAAGAATTTGGGCTGTTCTGGCTCTTACCTGCTGAGATTTGAGGTTGGGAACAAAAGTTTAATTGCCCATAAGCAGCTACCATGGTGCTTCACTTTCACAGCCATGCTGACTAAGCATACAAAAGTGCCCTAGACGGATTTGTATTTAAATATTACAGAACAGATAATAATTTTAAAGAATCATTGGGTCATTAATAAAAAATAATTAGCATTTTAGATGCATTTCCTTGTCAAAACAAATCCACTTTTCTGCTTCACCAAGTATGTAAACAGTGTGGTTTGTTTTTTTCCTGACAGCCCAGACAAAACTTTTGATTACTTGGAAAAAAATCAGGAAAGAACACAACATTTCTTGTAAAATATTAAACAGAGGGAGAGGCAGCATGTGCAGTCAGAAGGCTCACTGGATGTTATCACTGTAACAACCCTTCTTTTTCAGAAAAGCACATAAGTAGATTTCATAGGCATGTTTTTATTTCCAGTCCACAATTACACTCTACAACCCTTTTTTGGAATTAAATAAAGGAGTGACCACACTGAGAGCCTCTGCAACTTCAGTCCTATGGCACAATCCAAATGTCAGTGCTCAGCAAAAATCCTCCTTTTGGCAGCTGTGACTTTAGTTTGGATGCACAACCCCTCAGAAACCCCCACATGCTGCTGGACCATGTCCCAGATTCCCAAGCCAAGGGTAACTGGAGAGCTGGAAGTGCCTGTGTGCATGGACATGGATTTTGGGGTCAGTATCCCTCAGCCACGAGGAGTGTGGATCAGTACACGAGAGGGTTAGGGAGGATGCCCTGGGTCATGCATGCAGGCATGCAGGCCCTGTTATTTCAGGACATTTCATGTCATTCCTTCCATCAAATCTTTGAGAAGGTAGTGCAGCATCCCACCAGCTTCACTTTTCCCATCATGATTCTTTTCTTTAAATTCATTTTCCTACTGTACTACCTCAGTACCTACAGCCACCCACCTCGTTGATCATTTCATCACAGAGCAACTTCACCAAATGCATTAGCAAGAATTCCCTTTTTTCCCCTCTGAATTATACATGGTCCTCTACTTTTACACATAAGGAGGAAAATATTTGCCATTGCTCCTGGAGTGGGTGGGGGAGCTGGCTTTTGTGGCTAGAACAAAATCTTTTCCCTGGTTGCTTTGAGCTTATAGTATTTAAGGTGCTTTATCCTTCTCAGTTCAGCAAGCACCACTTAGAATAATGATGTACTCAGTTATGATCCAAGGAAAAATTAACTTCATGTTAAGCAACATGCCTGGGTAATGTTTTATCACTCAGTCACCTATTTTAAAGACCCAAGAGAGGAGCCAAAAGAGCTGGTGAGGTGTTACCTTGGTGCTTTCCTCCATGTCCTTGGAGTTGAGGAGCGCGTGGTTGATCCTGAACACGATCCAGTCAAACAGGGCGCTGTACAACGACTTGGCCATGGAATTCCGCACAGTCACAGCCTGAAATAGAAAAGAAAAAAGGTGACTGGAAATGAATCTTGCTCTGCACTAAAATGGCTTTTGCTTCTCAAGCTCCCACATCCAGTGTCCACATTTTTCCCTTGCCAAAACTTTTGTCTGCTATTTTATGCCACGCGTGTCAGTGGTCCTAACAGCGCAGGGAACTGGGTGTAATCCCAGGGCTGTGGATGCGCCCCTGACTTTGGCGTGGTTTCTTTCATCCATTTGAGTGGATGATACATGAAATCACACCACAAATCCCATCACTGGTGGTGAAAGGAAAGGAAATAAATACATACACTAAATATAAATATAATAAATTTACCAAGACCCTTGAAAAGTGTCCTGGGGGAGAAGGAAAGAAAAGGGTGGATATTGCACAGGAGTGACAGCAAGCGATGTGAAAGCTCAGGCCAGGACAGGCAGCGCCTGGCACCAGCAGAAGGGTTACAAAAGTGGAGGCTAAAAACCTCTCTGGTACATCTAAGGGTTTCTGAAAACTTGAAGTTTTCCAGGTACCACCAGCAGGAGCTACAAATCATGGCAGGCAGGTTCAGTGCTCCTCCAGCAGCTCTCCCAGAGAGAGGAATAACAGCGCTGAGGAAGGGTCATCCCCACCACGGCTGGGATCAAAGACATTCTGCCTGATGGGATGAAAGCTGAGATCAAAGGAAGATCCCTGAGCTTTTGGACAGGCACCTACATGGAGACCCAGAAAGCAGGAATTTCTATTTAAAGGTTATCTTTGTTCTTGCTGCTTGGGATTCTTCCTTGGTTTCAATTATCACCTCGAATAGGGCTTTGGTACATATTAATCACCTAAAAACTTATGGCACTAGCCATGACTGCTACATTTGGTTCATTTTAGCCACTGCAGAAGAATAAAAAAGGAACCAGAAGATTCCCATGTAATTATTTCAATTAAACCTTGAACCATAACCAATCAGTGGCTTGTCACACATTGCCTTGAAATCCTTGTCAGCAATGCTCCCTTCGAGGAACATCATCTGAGCAGCCTCATGTCACTGACCCCAAGTGAAGGAATAAAGCTCATGTAGCATCATTTATCTTCTATCAGCTTACTCCCATCTCTTTTTCCCTTGATTTTTGGAGATAACAGCATTTAGCATGACCACAAGCCGTTCTGCCAATGTCTTGCTCTTAAAATGCCATTAAGCACATGGTCTCACTTCCTCTCCCTGTCCAGCTGGAATAGGAGAAGGGATTAACACAGTCCACGCCAGGGGAGGTTTAGGCTGGATGTTAGGAAAAATTTATTCATGGAAAGGGCTGTCAGGCATTGGAACAGCTGCCCATAGCAGGGGTGGAGTCCCCATCCCTGGAGGGATTTAACAGACGTGTGGATGTGGAACTTGGGGACGTGGGCTAGTGGTGGCCTTAGCACTGCTGGGGGATGGTTGGGCTGGATGAGCTCATAGGGCTTTTCCCACCTGAACAGTTCCATGGTTCTGTAAATGAGGATGCTCACAGCCTTTGTACACTGCTAACTATAAAGTGGTGGCAATACAAAGTGACATCTCAAGGTAACTACAAAATACGGCCTTAATTAGCAAGGAACTCCTCACCCAAAAAACAAGTGTGTGACACAAATAGGTGAGCAACAGGACCAAGAGGATTTTGGTGCAGCTCAGACCAAAACAGCACTTTTGAAGAGTGAGCTCTTGAAATGCTCGAGTTCTCCAACAAGGGGTGGAAAGCAGCTGGCATTTCAAACACAAAGAACTCCAGTTCTCACTAACTGCTTTTTCTTCCCTTTACTGATGAAAAGGGTTTGGGGTGGGTTTTTTGGCTGTTTTTATTAAAAGCAACACAGGTTGTTTGGGTGGGGGAGGTTGCTATCTAATTTTTTTTTAATTTACTCAAATGTGAGAGAATATCTCAGTGATTAATAGAAAATTCAAGGCCCCAGCTACCCTTTTTTCATTAAGCTGGAAGACAATCAGTGCCACTGTCACACCAGAAAAATCAGTCTCTGGCGAAAGACAAAGGCCAAGATCCAGGAATGCCTCTCACTGCCCTAATGCTTTGTCCTGGCATAAACCAGCCCAATTAATTGCTCAAACGTGCAATTAAAAAGCCAAAAAGAACATAGTTGTTTCTCCTACAGCATCATATATGGGTTTATGTTGCAACACTTTTCATTACCTTTTATTAGAGGCTACAGGGATGTGCAGGACTTCACCCCTGAATGCCCTTGTTTTGTTTTTTTTTTTCCAAAATAAACTAGGATATCATTAAGCCTGCACCACTCCAGTGCTGAGGAATGCTGAGAGTGTGACTGCCACGAGTCTCCTGAATGGCCAGACTGGGAAGTTTCCCTGACACCAGCACTGCCCAGTTTCCTCCAGAATGTGCAGGGTGGGGGATGAGCCACTACTCTCATTCCCAACGTGGTCTCAGCTACATGAAAAGCTGGGAAACCCATGAAAAGGTGATTTCCTTGCTATGCTTGGGTCCCACAATCAGTGGTCCAGATCCCAAAGTGTTCAACAGCTACTTTTAGAAGAGATGGTTTAATACTAAGAGCTGGTAGGAAACTCCTGGCAAAGCAACATATTGACAACACAGGGTGGATGGAGCACTTTGTCTTCATCCATTTAAAAAATACCTGCACTGAAATGAACCTATTTTAAATTGCTCAAGGTTTAAGGGGGCCTGCCTTTATTTGAATTTTTTATTTCATTTCAATAAAGTATTAACTTTTTACAATAGAGTTCCACTGATGTCACATTTTAAATATAGCCCCTCACTATGCTAAACAGATTCCAAAACTATACAATCTGGAGACCATCAGGGAATATTATTTCTTTTCAAATTCAGGAGCTGCAGCAGAGCATTTAAAATAAGGTTTTATGCTTTATTTAATAAGAAATCATTTATTTCTGTAGTATCCTAAATAAATTAATTCTAGTCTCTGAACTACATCCCATACATCACATACAGCTTGTCTTCAGATCAACACCTACAGCTTCTGGTCTCTTCCTCAAGTCTCCTTACGTGACATTTAGGCAGATCTGGAACATGGTAATGCTCATCAAACCATTTTTATTTCCCTCACAAAGCAAAATAAAAATAGCTGCTGCAATGCCAAAACAAATCTCTGGGGATCAAAGGGAGCAGGACATGTTGCACCCACACAAAAATATTGCTGATTCCAAACTGAGACAGATTAAACACGCTTTGACTCAGCAGGTCAGGAAATAAGCTACAGACAAGGTTTTAATCAATACTTTCCTGCTTATCAAGGCAGAAAGGATCTATGTATTATTTATTATATGCCAGAAACTCCACTTGTTGGGTTGGCCAACTTTTGTTAAGATCCTGAGATAACATATTTCAGGTTTTTGTATCATTTCATTGCCAAATTAATGGTGCTGAAAGTTGTCATGATCAGCATTGGATTCAGGCCACCTTAAAAAACAGATAAACTTCTGGAAACATCTCTGTTAAAAGGAACAAGGGGAAGACAGGCTTAAGAATTAAAATCTGCCTTTGAAGTGCTTTGGAACAAGGACTTACAGTTCCAGCAGCAGCAGCCTGTGTTTTAGAGGCTGGAAAAGATGTAATCTCAGGAACCCAAATTTGCTCAAATTAAAAGTCTCTGTAAAACACATTTGTACACACAAGAGGAGATTCTTAAGAACTGAGATTACAAAGTCACTAAATATATTTAAGCAAATCTGTCTGCTGCCATCCCACAGCAACCCCTGCTCCAGGCAGGATCCCTCACTCCTGCCCTTCTGCACCCAGCTGAGGGCTGAAATTTCAAGCTGGAATTTTAAAAAATATTTGTTGGTACCCAGAAAATCCAGGGAAAACAGGTGGGTTAAAAGCCCCATCAAGCTTATACAGTGAAAACTACAAGAAAGACATTGTGGGGCTTGAGGCAGAGATGGAAACAGAGCTGGGAAAGGGTCTGGAGCACCAGGAGCAGCTGAGGGAGGTGGTGGGGCTCAGCCTGGAGAAAAGGAGGCTCAGGGGGGACCTGATGGCTCTGCCCAGCTCCGACAGGAGGGGACAGCCAGGTGGGGTGAGTCGGGCTCTGATCCCAGGGCACAGGGACAGGACAAGGCACAGCCTCAGTCTGTGTCACAGGAGGCTCAGTGGCCAGGCACTGGCACAGGCTGCTCAGGGAAATGGTGAAGACTCCATCCCTGAAGGGATTTAAAAGCTGTGTGGATTATAGCACCTGGGGTGCATTATAGCATTGATTCCATGATTCCAAGATGCTCAGCTAACCTTTTACAGATATTTTCACATGATTTTGCTGGAAGTTCCTTGCCTGCTCCTTATTAGATTCAGTGTTTTTACTGCTGACTAACCTAACACACAAGCAAGAGCAGCAATAGTTCAATTTGAACAACAAAACCTCAAATATTTTACGTCTTTCAGACTAAGGGGAATAAACAAAGCCCAGAGAACAGAGGGTGGGTGAAAGCAAGTGCTGAAGGACTTTGAAAGGCAAAGAGCAAAAATTGCAACAACATCCCTGGACGTCCCAGGGAGAAGAAAGTAAAGAGATCCCACTGATTTGGACTTGATGATCCCTGTGGGCCTCTTTCAACTCAGGATATTCTCCGAGGACAAAATCATCAAGATGCTGCTGGAAGCTCAGTGGTTTTATTCACACCCTTCCATAATCAAGAGGAAGATTTTCTAGAGTGTGGACCCTACTAACCACAGCAAGATCTAGAGTGGGACTGAAATACAAGAGACAGTTCCTCTTAATTATTCCATCAAACCAACCCAACCATGGAGAGTATCTGGAAAGGCAACTGGCTTTAAGCATTTTTGACCCAAACAAATTGATGGATGAAGGGCTTTTGGAGTCAATAAACATTTTCTCTTTTTGTTTCAAAAGAGCCAGACTAAAATGAAGTACTGATTCTGTTCAGAGCATTGCTCGACACAAAAAAAAAAGACCAAAACAAAGCAAAGCTCATCATTTTTGCATCACTTAGGAAGAGCAGGGTATTGGT